GATGGGAAGTGGGGAGAGTGAAGGGAATTGGGGAGCAAACAATGAATGCAGGAGAAGGGCGGGAGCACTAGAACTGATTGTGATGATGTATATACAACTCTTTTTAAAAGCGATTTAACCATAGAAATATATGGTATGTGACTATTGTTTCAAGAAAAACTACTAAAAGAAAAAAGAAACCAAACTTGACCAGTGGTTACCATGGATGAAGGAGAAAGAGTTGTTGCTTAGGGGACACTGGGTTTATGTTAATAGTGGTGGAATAATTTGGAAAAGGATATCGATAATGGTTGTACAACAAGAAGAGTATAATCAATGGCCCTGAATTATACATGTAGAAGTTGTGGAATTGGAGAATGTTTTATTGGGTATATTTTTGCCACAATTAGGGAAAAAATTACATGACTAACAATGAGTACAAGGAAGAAGAATATGTTCTAGAAGTGAATGTGGTGATAATTGCACAACTCTTCTTAATATGATAGAATTTTTGAATTGCATGGCATGTGGATGAAATACTAATAAAACTGTTAAAAAACAACAAACCACTATGGTGCAAATTCTCTGCTCATGTAGGGGTCACCTTGAGTCAGTTTGACTCTGTGGTAACTAAGAACAGCAGCAGCAGACTGAAAAGACCAGCTTTTCAGATGCTTCTTTGTCTTAAAAACAGCCTGCCTTCTACAGATGTCACAGCCACCAAGTCACTTCTGACTCGTAGGGACCCACCCCGTACACTTCTGGGGATGTCAGTCTTCATGGACGCAAAGTGCCCCCTCGTTTCTGCCCCAGCTGCATGGCCGGTTGGCTGAAACCAGCATGCTTTCTTCTAGCAGCCCAGGGCATCACCCACTGCAGAGACATCACAGTGTCAGGGAAGAAGCATTTAGAATCAAAGTGGCCTGGTTTCAACCTCAACTTTACGTACTTTACGTTACTCAGTTAAGTCAAGTAACAAGTTGCTTGACTTCTCTAAGCTTCGATTTTTGTTTTCTACGTTACAAGTGCAATACCTATTTCCCCCAAATCTGAGGATTTGAAATATTGCACAGTAGTACACATATATGTGCCATCCATCACCCACTACCTTTCCATTGGCTTGTTCATTTGAACCTTGAACCATATTCTTTTGTCCAAAGCGAGACCCAGTTTTTCTTCTCCTGAAATGAATTCTTTCCCTTAACCTTGTTCATTGACTCAGAGAAGCTGAACCTTTTGTTTTCTGACCTCACTGAGATTACTCATAGTATGTATTCTAAAGGCATATAAGTATGTCAACCAGTTTTATCCAGGCCACTGAGTAGGTCATAAAATAAATAGCTAATTTTTCTAGTTGCTTGTAAAGAGCCAAGTTACTAATAAAAGTGATAGCTGTGTTTACTGAGCACTCAATATGTGTCAGGCACATTATATGCATTTTCTTATTTAAATCTCAAATTCTGTGAGATTAGTACATTTATTCCATGTTGCTGGTGAATCTTAAGAAATTGAAGTAAATTCCCCAAGATCATACAATAAATAAGACAATCCAAATTCAGGCAGTCTTACACCTGACTAATGAGCTGTTACACTCTTACTTAATAGACCAGAGTAGGCTCTACCCCAAATTAACCATTGTGTATAATTCAAATAATGAATGCACTGGCAATATCCTGTGAAGGTGGTTTTACCAGTGTAAGAGGTTTATGAACCACAAGGCTCTGCCTACTTTTTAATATTAAATGTTTTCTCTAGCATTTGTTAGCAACTCTGTGGATTGCTTCCTCCATCCTCAAAGTGGAGACCCCAAACCCACCTGTAAGATAATTGGACAGTCCCTCACAGAAGGGCCATACTGAAGGGATGATGCATCCAGGATGCAGTACAGCACTGATGAAACATAACTATTCTCTAGTTCTTTAATATTTCCAACCCCCAATATTGTGGCCTTAGTTTTGCCGCACTAATTGTGCTAGACCTGCATATGTACAATTGTACAATCAAGGTCTTTTGATACATGAAATCCAAGATAGATAAACCCCTCAGAAACAGTAATGGGAGTAATGATCCCCTGAGGGCACGGGAAGTGGGGAAGGGGACTGACAGCAATGATGAATGTATAATTCCACTTGAGGATAACAAACACCAGAATTGTAAGTGAATGGATACATTGGATGGTGTAAGATATGGCAATAATAATAATAATATATTGAGGGTTCATGGGGGTAGTAGTAGGTGGGGAGGGAGGGGACAAAGGAGAGCTGATATCAAAGAATTCAAGAAGAAAGAAAATGTATTGAAAATGATAATGGCAGCAATTGTACAATTATGCTTGACCTAATGGAACTATGGATTGCAATTATATCTGTAAGAGCTCCTAATAAAATGTTAAAACAACCAAACGAAATATATGCAAGGCTTAGAAATCATAAGAATAAACTCATACAGAATTTAAGAGTGATGGGCATGGCTCAAGACCGTGGGTGGCACCAGTGGCTTGCTCTCAGCTCGTAACCAAAGAGCTGGCGGTTTGGATACACCCAGTGGCCCTAGGGAAGAAAGACAGAGCCATCTCCTGTCAAGTTGCAGCCTATTGGAATTAAGTTCTACTCTGAAGCACCTGGGCTACCAGGGGTCGGAATCAAGTTGGCAGAAGTGGCTTTGGGTTTTTGTTTGTTTGTTTGTTTTAGGCATTGTTCATAATGCTTAGACATCCATGGATGGATAAATTTTGAAATTTTCTTATGTTATTCTTTTTTTTTAAGTAAACTAATCTCTAGAATAATCTTTTCTATGTCTCAACTATTTAATTTTTAAATTAAGGGAATGTTTTAAATATCAAATATGATTTCTCTATGTCTATCCCCCTGCCAGCTTTTAACTTCCATGTTACATTCAATTTTATTTTATATTTTATACTGAATATTTTCCTTCATTGAAATGATTTTGTTCACGTTGATTATTCAAATTGATCATCTTTTTTTTAAATCATTTTATTGGGGCTCGTACAACTCATCACAATCCATCCATCCATTGTGTCGAGCACATTGGTACGTTTGTTGCCATCAGTTGCCATCATCATTCTCAAAACATTTGCTTTCTACTTGAGCCCTTGGTATCAGCTCCTCATTTTCCCTCTCCCTCCCTCCCGAACCCTTGATAATTTATAAATTATTATTATTTCAAATAGATCATCTTAAGGTAACTTAGTAGGACTGTCAATCATAATTTTACAAATTACTTGTTTGACCCCAGAAACAAGAGAACAAAGCATGATCCGATCTTGTCCCATCCTCATAGTTTTTATGCGTGAGTGTGTGAGCCCCTTGTAGCTACTGTATCCATCCATCTCCTTGAGGGTCTGCCTTTTTTGACTGACCCTCCAGTTTACCGAACCTGGTGTTTTTTTCCCAGGAACCGGTCTCTGCTGATGACGTGACCAAAGCTCATAGGATGAAGTCGCACCATCCTCACTCATAAGGAGCATTCTGGCCGTACTTCTTCCAAGACAGATCTATTTATTCTCCTGGAACACCAGGGTACTTCTCATATTCTTCGCCAACACTGTAATTCAGAAGCATCTATCCTCCGGTCTCCCTTATTCATCATTCCAGTCTTCATCTGCATCGTGACTGACAATATTAAGGTACCTCAAATATTACAGCATGCATCACATAAAACTGTAACATTGATCGATATTTTTACGTTCCTCCTGGAAACATAAGGATAACCTTACTCAAACCCTCTGCCCCTGAGTCAGTTATGACTCAGTGACCCGATATAGGGCTTCTGAGGTTATAGGACACCTCAAATTCCAAGAACGTCACCTAACGTACTTGGTAAGGTGACTGAGGCAGTGGCCTTTAAAATGTTAATTCTCTCCCTCCCCACCCCCAACTTTATTAGGTATTACTTAACGATTCTGCTTGGAATGGACTTTACGAACCTGAAAATTAGTATCTTTCATGAAGTCTGGAAAATTTCCAACCATTATTGTTTTAAATACTGTTGCTCTATAACCCTTTTTTTTCTTTTTCTGGTTCTCAAATTATGTGCACTTTAGGCTTTCTCATTCTAACCTCCATGTCTGTTCACATCATCTGTCTCTAACTCTTGCAACATTCTGAGTGATTTCTTTTGATTTGTCTCCCCATAAATTTGCCCTCCAAGTTTTAAATCCACCCATTGAGTTTTAAATTTGGTTATTGTGTTTTTATTCTATAAGACTCCATCCTGTTTGTCCTTCAAACATACTGCCACTTTTTGAAAAAGCTCACCTTTCATTTCTTTAAACATAGGAAGCTTGATTTTTTCATAATTATTCTAAGAACCGTTACGCTTGAAATCCTTGTGGAGCTTTCTGGTGCTCACACACATGCTACTGTATTTCCGTGCATGCTAGGTTACCTTTGTGCTTTGTTCATTGCCCTTGAACGATTGCTAGCAGCACTTTTTGGAGACCTGGAATGAAGGCTTTCTCTTTGCTTCTTGCACCTCGCTACCTAGAAGCACTACCAAACAAGTTCATCTGAAGTCAAATCCACCGTTAAAATTGTCTTTGGTTACCTTGCAAATGACCAGCTTACCAGTACCAAAGGTGTAGGGCATTTTCCTCCACAAACACGTGCACAAACTTGCTTTCTACTTCCCTGGGGCAGGCCGGATACTTCTTGTTAGCCCTCCTCCGCTGGGATAGTCTTTGTAGCGACAGCTGTGTTGTGGGTGAGGATATGGGGAGGGGAGGGGATTTGTTACCGTACTCATTTTTTCCTTATTTCACAAGGCCTCGGAAATCCCAGCCCCCTTTCTCTTGGAATAGCAAATCTGCTGCGGGCAAAAGCAGCTTCCGTGAGCAGCTACGTTCCATAAGTCTGTGTTCCCTCGCTTCACCCAGAATTGGCTTGCTTCGCTTTGGGCTTTCAAAAGATGTTCTTTATATTTTATGAGGAATTTTTAGTTGTTTTCTATAGGGAAATGTAATCCAATAGCTTCATTCATTTTATTACTGGAATGGATTGCTGCATTTCCTTTGTTATGAAGCTAAAAAAGAAGTGACTGCATTTCAACTTAAGGGCACCCTGATCAAGTGCTCGGCTGCTAACCAAAAGGTGGATGTTTTGAGCATACCTCTCTGGGGCAAAAGTCAAGGCTGCCTGCTCCCTAAAGGTGTGAAGTCTCAGAGCCCCTCAGGGGCAGTTCCGCTCTGTCGCACAGAGTCGCTGTGAGGTGGCAGTGAGTGTGAGGGTTTTGTTTCGTTTCGTTTTCCCTGGATCAGAATGGGCTTCTGTTCAGCAATGGGCACTCCCAAGTTTCTGATTGAAACAAATATTTCAGGCATACACCTCATTAGGGTGTTTTTAAACACGTCCCACATAATCAAAATGCACATATCACTTAAGAATAGTAAAATATCCCTTTAAGTAAACTTGCAAGTCATTTGTCTTTTGTGATTTTTTTAGGACTAGCTCCAAATGGCAAATGTGGATAAAGAGTCCGTGCAACCCCTCCTCTCTGAGGGACTTCCTGAGGTAAATTCCGGGCCTATGAATATCCAGTTCGATTCATCAGACCTCAGATCAAAAAGGTAAGTGCTTGAAATAAAATGCTCACCTTATAATTGAGATTTTAATGATTAAAATGGGACTGATTTCGGCCAAACACGCATAGATTTGAATATCCAGTTTTTACTAGGATTTGTATATTTGTGGGGTGGGGAGAAGGAATAAAGACAGAAAGCTACTATTTCATTTGTGTTTTATTTAGAGGAGATCGGATCAATTTTAGAAAATAAGATACGTTCATAAAGTTCATTTAACAAGTATATATTGATTACCTGTTTTGTGCAAAGTAATCTGGTAGACCCTGGGATAGAACAGTAAAAGTAATGCTTTCGTTAGACTTAAGACTTAGGTGTCAATTTAATTTGTATGCATGGAATCCAAGAGAATCCATTGAAAACTTATTATAAACAGTGAATTAATTCAGTAAAGTGGCTGCTCATTTAAAATAGGCGAAAGTACAAAGCATTCTAGTGAGAAAATGTAACTGGAAAAAAAAAAATCATATATATGGAAGTAACTTTAACAAGAATTTGCCAAATCCGTGTGGATGAGACTTTTAGATGCTCCTGAGAGACGTAAGATAAAGTTACTTCATCCGAGATGCTGCTGATCAACAGTTGCAGTTTGTTTTAAATTCACCAAGAAAGAAAACCATTAGCCAATGACTCTGGTGCAGTGACTTCTTATGACTTGGCATTTTAATTTTATAATTAAAGGGAGAACTCTTGGACTTACGTGACACACTTTAAGATTATAAAAATTAAAAAGTAAATACAAAGTTTATCAATTAAGAGATTATTAACACTTCCTATCCGGAGTGAGATTTTTCTAGATGGCTTTCTGACTCGGAGTCAGCAAAACTGGTGTTCTCTCCTACAGCCTCTTGCCACTGATGATGTAGCCTTTCTTGAGAAGCTGTTCTTCCAAATCGCTCACACTTCTGTTTTGCTTTATGCTTGCACTTCCCTCTTTCACCAGAAGGTGTTGTAGAAGGTTTTTCAAAAGCAACTTGAGGTGTATTTCTTCAGCTGGTTCTTCTAAAATGGTTGTGACTAAAATGACCGAGGAGAGCGGTTACCTGCCATGCCATCAGGAAAAAACAACCAAAGTTACACGTACACAGGCAGTGAGGACTGTCAATATGGTTGCTACGTGGCTGACAGTACCTGAAAGGTGTTTTGGAAATATACCGTGTGATGAAAAGACTCTCGGTTCTCGGTGGCAAGACCCTAAACATGTCATTTGCCTTTCATTTTCATCTAAATGTAATGTGATCCCGACTCCAAAATTCCAGGAGCCAATTCCAAAAAGCATGTGACCAAGACATTTCCCTTTTAAGCATTACTTTGCAGTGTTAAATAATACCTGGACAAGGTTGTTAAATGTAGTAAATTTTATAATAGCAAAGAATGAAAAACAGCCCAATATTTTCATTGGGCTAATAAATTATGGCCCATCCATAGCATAGCCTTTTTCCACCCATTTAACATTACACATTAAAAGGAAACACTTGTTCACTTTATTTTGTGAAGTAAAAAAAATTGAAGTGCCGAGCATTAAGAATAATATGCCACTGTTAATGGAAAAATAAAGCCATGGATTATGCATAATACAATAAATAGTAGGAACCTTCAAATTGTTTATGGGAAAACTCCATTGTCTTTTCATTACATTTTGCCACAAACCTATCCTAAGCTCAGTAATACTGATGGTAGCATCCACAGATAGAAACTGAACCTGTGAAGTGGGACAGTTGGTCCCAATCTGTTAGCCAAGTACCCGACAACGATTCAGTGACTCTGCCAACAGAGTCCTACTTTTGTGTAGGATTGCAGTGGTTCTCATCCAGGCGATGAAGAAATATTGGTTTAACCCACTCAGAACAATTCTGTTTCCCTGTTTCCATTTTCTAGGTGTGTCATGTTAAGCCTTTTTTGTAGCTGCAGGTGTGAACTTTTATCAATGCTATTTATAGTGACCATCAGAGAAGATGATAAATCCCATAATTTCCATTTGTGTGTTCGGCCCGTAGTGAATCTGCGGACTCGATGGTGATTGAGTGTGCAGTTCTCTTGAGGCCCCTAAATTCCGTGATAGATAATTGACCACTGTGACAACAGAATGCAGGTCACTAATGTGCATTCTATTACAAGACGTTGACCGGAGTTCAAGTAGCTCTCTGATAATACCACTGTGTAGATTAAATGTATCTTCTATAATGAAACTTGTCAAACTGAGAGGGAGTCCACTGTGTACAATCATGGCATAACTACCTAGGTAAGCATTTCTTACGGAAGGCAAATGTTTACAGGAACTTAGTGTTAAATGCTAATTTGCTTGTGAAATAATTTCTGTGTTTAGGAACACCTAACTTATTTGATGAAAGAAAAGTTTTAAGCATTGCTGTGTCCATTAAATTCTGGCTTATTCCACTTTATGTACATAAATAGAATTCACACACAGGAGGAAGTGTATCTTCCATTAGAAGAGTCAGTTTAGCTCACTGTTTCTGAAGCTCAGTCCCCTGAGGGTGACTTTGACTTTTGCCATATCCCAGTACTACCTGTGGTTATGTAAGTTTAGTATTAAAAAAAAAAAAATCCACCAACTCTTTGAAATTAGGGTTAATTAAGCCTACTCTTAAATTATAATTATCTGAAATTATGGATATGAGGTCATTTACATATTTTCCTAATCTCCAACTCCTCAAACTCAACTGCCACCAAGTTGATTCTGACTCATAGCAACGACCATTGATATATTTATGCTTTAGGCCTTCAAGCAGTTTCTTAAAGGCTATGCAAAATTATTTTAGATAGCACAAGGATGACCATTATTTTAATTACTTTGTGTCCATATCAATGGATATTAGGAAACATATAAACAACATTTTGAACCTACCATTTCACAAATAATTACTATTTAAGAGCAAGCTTAATTAAGTCAATTTTTATTAGAGAGTATTATTCTGGAAAAAAAATACTAAATTTTACTACTACATAGGTTGTACTGGGATATGGTAAAATCAGCGTGACTCCCAAAATTGCTGAATGTCAAAAAAACATGATCTCAGCTGATTAGGAGCCCTGGTGGTGCAATGGTTAAAGCACTAGGCTGCAAGAACAAACGCTTGGCTGTTTAAATACACCAACAACTGCACGGTATAAATATGTGGCTAGGTGCTTTTATAAAGATTTATAACTTTGGAAGTTCTGTAGGGCAGTTGTACTGTGTTCGATACCGTCAAATGGTTAGAGAGGTCCTTTTGGAGGCTGGAGGGCATGGTCTGGCCTGTTGTTTTCTGTCTTCTCCACTAGATGGCAATCAAATTATGTATTTGTTCAACTATAACAACGCTTTTGGATTGAAAGCTTGCTGAATCTGTTTATCATTTTTGTGGAATTGGGGTTTAACCAAACCTAGATAGTGGAAGGAGTTGTCATTTTAGTCATCTGGGGAACTTTTTCAAATTACATGGATCTCTGTTCCCTCTGCATATCCCCTGTCCCATCATTTCCACCCCCTGGCTTGGTGTGGAGTGAGGGAAGTGAATATAGACGGACAGAAAGGCTTGGAAGTAGCTTGTGGTGCCTTTCACATATTCTCTGGGCAGTCACTGTTCTCAGAGGTTTTCCCACTTTCCCCAGGCTTCCTGGTAACCAGAGATAGAGCTGGTATGCAGGATTGCCCCATACACTGCTGCTGCCCTGCGATTATGTCTTCCAGGGGGTGGCCATCCCAGTCAGCCTAAAGCCAGATTATGAAGTGGCTAATTTGATGTTTTTGTTTTGCTAAACATGGATACCTTTGTTAAGCAAAAATTCCAAAAGGTAAACCTATTGTTTCTCAGCATGTCTTCTCTCTCAGGATCACGCTTTTCAAAAACAAAACATTTTTGTTGTGAATTGGATGAAGGTTTGCAGAACAGATAGCTTTTTCGTACAGCAATTCATACACATTTTTTCATGTCAATGATTGCATTCCCGTGATGTAACATCACTTATCTTATCCCACTTCCCTGTTTCCATTCCTCCTCCTATCCTAACCCTTTTGAACATTGACCTTGAGTAAACGCTGGCCTCTTGATCTCAAATGGTTGATTATTCCAAAGTGTGCATG